CATTTCCAGAGTTCACATGAACGAGACATCCACAGACATGAACGTCTGGAGATATTTTGGGCTGTTGCAACTGCCGGGAGAGGGTAACCCTACTGGCAGCTGGTGGGTGGGGCCCAGGGACGCAGCCCCACCGTGCCCAGGACGCCCCACCACAGAGCCACCCGGCCCAAACGTCAGCAGTCCCGCGGCTGAGAAACCTTGATTTGTTTTCTTCTAAGATCTTTCTAAACTTTAAATGTTTACCTTTAGATTCATAATCTATGTGGAATTAATTTTGTTATATGCTTAATTCTTACATTAAAAAGATCATATCCTTGCCTTTCTCTGCCATATTAATATGATGAATTACACTGATATGTTGTTTAAGTAATAAACCGTCTTTGCTGTCTTAGAGTAAGCACTATTTACCTCTCTACGACAGGGCTAGAGTTGCCTATTTAGTATTCTGTATTTGGGGGCTTTTTTTATTCATATGAAAACACAATCAAACTCACACATCCAGTTTCAGATTTCAAGTTTTTAAGATTATGACAGTTTCTCAATGTACGTGAACACATTCATCTTGGTCTAGGCTCCAAGGTCGTTTATACGGCGTGGGAATCCATTCATCACAGTCGACGTAACAGAACTTACCTTAAAACGCCCAGACACGGGGCCTTCCTACAAGACAAAGCTCTGAAAATATTCCCAGTTTCTCCCCTGATTATGGGTCAGCAAGTTTTCTATTTCTGCTGATGTCAACATTGGTCATCGTTGGACCGACACCAGACCACAGAGCAAGTATTTCTTTAGCAGTTCCAATGCTATTAGCAAAAGTTTCTAAATAGTGTTTACTTTCACCATCATCTAAATGACTACCTTCTGATTTCGGTTTTGTACAATTATGTTTTCTCCAATCAAAGATTTATTTTAAAATAACTCAACACTTGGATTTATTTCTTATTCCCAATTATTAGTTTTGGGTTGTTTTCCCTTTATGAACTTCTTCCTACTCTTTGGTTTATGCAGTATTTTTTTCTTGGTTGTTTTAATTTTTAAAAATATTTGAACTGGGTAATTTCTTCACCCATTTAAGTTTTTCTTTCTGATAGCAGTTTGGCTACCCTCTTTGGTTTTATAGGTAGCATTCAGATGGCAATGAGTTTCTTAGGTCATATATAATTTAAGCTTTCATCTGTTCCCTGAACAGGTTATTTAGGAAAGTGCTTCTCATTTAAAATGTCTGAGGGGACACTGGTCATGTTTTTAAATTTGCTTGTTCCTTTTTTAGTGTAGCTATCAATGTCTAGCTTTATTATACCATACTTAAAGAACATGACGTTTAATTCTTGCTTCAAGTAACATATGAAATGCCTCCTTGTCTCATTACGATAAAATCAGTTTTTCTAAGTGGTTCATGGTTGATGAGAGAAGAGATTATTGTTTACATAATGTATACCATTTAAAGGAAATCGTATGCATTATTCATTAGATGAATTTATTTGTAATTTGCTTTAAGGACTAGGAAGATTTTAAAAAATACTTCTGCATCTGCATTTATCTCCTTTCCTCTGTATATATAATAGATGCTGTTTACATGCTTTATGTAATGGTGACTGATATGCAATGATTGTTATATAAAGGATCATTACCAGTAAATCTAAAATGTGAATTTTACACTTTATTATCTAATGCCTCTTGCCTGAACTCTCAGTCAGAAAAAAATATATATAATGATCCCTGCATTTTATTTTCCTTCTGTGTGTTATGTGATATCTCTCTATCCTTTATTAAATAAAGATATTGAATAATATGGATTCCTTTAAATTTGCATAGCTTCGTAAATATATTTACAACAATTATTTCCTTTTCATACTAGGTTTTTACTTGCTTCTTGTCTTGCTAACTTTCCCTGGAGTTCTGTAGTTTGATACAACACTGAGTGAACAACCAACAATTTTTCTTCCAACCAACAAAACTTCCTAAGCACTTTCATGTTTGAGAAACTTCCTGTTGCCTTTCTGGGGAATGACAAACCTGGCTTGGTATAAAATTCTCAGGTCCTAAAACCGTTATTTCATGATTCCAAGTGTTCACTGTTTTCTGACCTTTGACATTGTCATCTAGATTTTTTTTTTAATTTTTCCTCTGCAGACAAATCTACATTTCTTTTTCTTGTATGTACATAGTAATAGAAATATTTATCACTACAATTTTAAAAATTCCTCTCTCTCTATGTGTGTGTGTGTGTAAGTGTGTGTGTGTGTGTGTGTGTGTGTGTGTTTTATTTAGTTTTCTCATGCTTGGTGATACCCATTTTTTCCTGTTATTTCTGCATCCCGGGGAATCTCAAGTACATCTTTGGTAATTCACGTTCTTTCTTTTTTTTTTTTTTTGACCTTTCTATTATTAAATAGGTGCATCTCTGTTTTAGAGCTTCCTTCTCTAGACGCCTTTTCTCAAATGCTGGAAAGATACTCACATTTTCCGTACAGATGACTCCGCAATCCGCACGGCTCATTTTATTCAATGATTTCTCTAAAAGATTTACTTTATTTCTATTTACTGTTAACATTTCCTCATCTTATTCTGTTTCCATTTTACACAGCCAGAGCCTTTTCAACCCGCCCTGTTGTCCTACCGTATTTTTAATCAATATGTTGATGCTTTCCTGAATTTTATTAAAAGCGCAACTCAGATTTTTTTTTTTGTTAAGACAGAGTCTCACTCTGTCACCCAGGCTAGAGTGAGTGCCCTGGCATCAGCCTAGCTCACAGCAACCTCAATCTCCTGGGCTCAAGCGATCCTCCTGCCTCAGCCTCCCGAGTAGCTGGGACTACAGGTGCACACCACTATGCCCGGCTAATTTTTTTATGTTTAGTAGAGACAGGTGTCTCTGCTTTCATCATAATTTGAAAGTACTTTGCAAGTGTCAGAGGCTCGCCATAGGGGCTGTCCAGGCTTATAAAGGAAGGTGGTCAGTCATCAGGACACTTCCTCAGACCTCGTAAAATACAGGTGACCTTCCTTCTGCTGGGGGGAGGAGACAGTGGGGCGCAGGGGCACCTACAAGTCTTACCTGAGTGGGCCAGACACCTGTGGCGTGATCAGCACCACCAGCCTCCTGGTCAGTCTGTGGCTCCTCAGTGACTGCCCAAGCACCAGGGCGCCCTGGCAGTAGATGTCATTGGTGGCCAGCGTGACAAAGGCCTGGTCGACCACTGCAAAATGAACAAAATCACCAGATTCACATTCCTCAGGGGACTCAGGGGAGGATGGATCCAGTGGGCACCTCCTGTCCTCTCTCGAGAGTCACCAGTTGCACTGAGCACACTATGCGGTATTCCTAAACGCTCCCAGGTGACGCTTCGCACACACCCTTTCATTCGAACAAAGCAAAGCAGAACAAAACACAGGAAGAACGCTTTAAGAAATGGAAGATTTGCATGGACCCACTGCAGGGTTTTGCCCGGAGGCCACCCATCATGTGACATGCATGCTATGGCGCATCAGCGTGAGTTCCCTGCACACCACACGGCTCCTTATGTTAAGAGACCCCTGAGTTACATACACTTCACGAGGCCCCGGGCTCAAAACCAGCGTGAGTTAAATACAACTCACACGGCAGTTAATGTGTTAAATTCTGCACACACCAGTTGTTTGAATGACATCGACTCAAGGACGTAGGAGGCAGCCGCGAGATGGAAGTAGGAAAACTGTATTGTTCTCAGTTTCCTAACGTCTCAGTAGGAGAGAAAGAAACTCTAAGGGCAGATCCAACTGTGGCAATTTTAAGACTACGTGCACACGGATGATGTGAAATTTTACAGCGACCTTTAAACCACTTGACTCGTGGGCCCCCGAGAGCGTGTCGCGGGGATGGAGACAGCAGTGCGCGGGGAAGCAGCGGGGCTGAGACACCCCACGCCGGGCGCAGTCCGCCCGCTCACAGTGGAAATTACCTCCCGCAGCTCGTAGGCAAGTGCGGTGCCCGCCCCGAGACGTGGGGCTCCAGCCAAGGCCAACCCAGGTCACCGCTGAAGATAACACACAGGGGAAGTTCCCAGGGGGGCGTCTCCTTGACCTTTACATCCTGGTGGTATAAATCCCAAAATGCACCTGCACAAGGCGCTCCTGTAGGTGCGTCTCCCCCACCCTTGGATTAAGAAGGAAGGAGAATTCCTGGCATCTCCATTGTGAGTGGGTATCGCAGAGGTCGAACTGCAGGACTGCAGTATGCAGAGGGAAAGGTATCTGCCTATCACCTGTCTATATCTATCTACCTATGTATCTATCTATAGGTATCATCTATCAATTACCTAGCAATCCATCACCTATGTATCTATCACCCATCTACCCATCCATCCATTCATCTATATCTACCTATCACGTATTATTTATCTATGTAATTGAAATTAATTATCTATGTATTCATTATCTATGTAATTATCTATGTAATTATCTATGTAATTTATCTACATATTGATAAGCTATCTGGCTATCATCTCTCTACTTATAATCTATCCATTATCTCTATATCATCTATCAATTATCTACCAATCCATAATCTATGGAACACCTATCTGTCATTTCTCATGTATTCTCATCCATCTATGTAACTACGTATTTATCCATTTATTTATACGTATCATCCTCCTATATACAGTCTATAGATTATATATTCAGCTCTATATCATTATCATCGGTCAGTTCATAGGGTTTTTGGTTGAATAACTGAGTTTACAAAGATAATAACGGTGCTTATGATTCATTCGGATATTTGCGAAGGCCTGAGCTCAGATCGAAGTTGCTTCCCGAGAACAGGTGCAGCTGTCAGAGCCCCGTTCATTCACCTGAGGTGACGCTGCTCTTCCGTCTGTAGGCAGAGGAGATTCCAGAGAAAACAGACATTCCGGATCAGTGTCAGCAAACCCAGAGCCGGCTGAGGCAATGGTGCTGTCTGAGCTTCGTCCATGACCCCGAAAATCAGACAACGCCCCAAACAGAGCCAAATCTCCAGCCTTCCTGGGGCTTCTCTGACCCATACCTTAGAGGAGGGTGGTGAGGCAGAAAGAGTCACCGAGTGGAAAGCCTGCTGTGGAATCCTAAGTGTGAACGTATTTCCGAAAAGCACAGTGAGCCTTCCTACACCTCAAGACACAAATCCCTTAGAGCCTTGCCTTTCCATGCAAACTTTTAGAGAAGTTAACAGAAACGTCACACGACACAAAATGCACCATGTCAAAGTAAGCAATTCAATTGCTGCACTAATTTCATGTAGCATGTTGATGCAACCACCCCTCGCACGTAGTTCCAGAACATTTCCAACACCCCAAAAGGAGATGCCATATCTTAGCAGCCACACCCCATTCTCCCCTCTCCCCAGCCCCTGGCAACCACTACTCCACTTTCTGCCAGTTCTGGACATTTCACATCAATGGGATCAAACGCCCTGTGGGTTTTCCTGTCTGACATGACATTTCCAAGGTCCAATGCAGATTCATGATTAAAACGTGAAAGGGGAATCTTCCAAGGAAAGATAGAGGTTGGGAGGCTCCCAGTGTCCCCTCCCCAGCCCCTGAGATAAAAGGAGAATGAACTACAAAGTGTGCCAAAGAATGCCACCAGCAAGGCAGGAGGGAGCCCTCAGCCAACAAGAGATTTCTGCAGCTCTCTGGCTGCAGAGGAGGAAGGCAGCTCTCAGCGCATGTAGAAGGAGCCCCGCTACCAGAACCAGCAAGATGACCCGCCCAGACAGCCTGCGTCCACCCCGCTTGGACCCGCATCCCAAGAACAGCAGTGGACAAGAGGCTGGAGACGGAGGAATTCCCTGAAATTCTGCAGAATTCTCCAAAGTCAAATATGCCCCATTCCAAGGAGGAAAAAAAAGATGGTAAGATTACTCTAAAGGGAATGAAAGGTCTCAGAAAAATTCACCACCACGAAGAAGTGGAATTCCTAACCTGTAACATAACCTTGACAGATTCAGACAAGTAGGCAAGCTTTGCCTGTAGGCAGAGCTCGACTGGCATTACTCATTTTTAAATACGTAGATGTAAAGAATCAGCAGATAGTTGAAAAAGATCTTCCACAGAGAAGAGAGAACTGAAAACTTATGGGGTGGGGTGGGAAGAACTCTAGAAGCATGAGGCATTCCAGGGAACAGAAATTCCAGGAATAACCAAACAACAGACACTTGCGCACTCCAACTGCAGTGATAAGCATTCTTCCAAGAGACTGGGTGAAAAAATGTACATCTTTAAACCAAGAATCAAATGCTATAGATAAAGAACAATCCATGGATATGGAATAGCTCTTAGAAATTAAAAATAGGGTTTACTGACATGAAAATGATATCACAGAGGTATGAAAAATGTCACTGAGGAAATCTCTCAGAAAGTAGAATAAAACAACAAATGAAAGTTCTGAGAGAGCTCAAAACCTACAGGATTAATTCAGAAGGTTCACCAACATGGCTTCTGGAAAGAGAGAACAGAGAGGGGAAAAACAGGACAGAAAAGTTTCCAAAGAAATTAAACAGGAAATTTTCTAACAGCAGAAAGTCAAAGTCTGCAGATTTTAAAAAGCCCACAGAGTATGTAGAATAAACAACAAACAGTCTTCATCTTGAGAATATTTTTTATGGAATTTGAAAATACCAAAAATAAGAAGAACACCCTGAAAGCTCCAAAAAATAAAAATAAAAAATACAGGGCAATCCTACAAAGGATAAGGGTCAGACTTCTTATCATCAGCAATGTCTACTAAGGCAAAGCATCATACCTAGATTCTGACCAAAATGGTCTTCATCCTAAAATTTTATACCCACACCTGCACATTCATTTACCACACAAAAATTTTATACCCAGACCAAATATCGCAGCCCCTGCACATTCATTGATCACACACTATTTCTTAGGCAGGTACTTGAGTATGTGTTCCATATGGAACATGGGCTTGTATTCACTTAATTTAATTATATATATTTTTAAATGCTAAGGTAGATGGCAAAGTAAAAACTAAGATAAATCAAGATATATACATTATAACGTGTGTATAGAGATATGCACACGTTATGAAGAGAATCATACTAAACATAAAGTTGAACTGAAAACAAAGTGCTATTTACAATTTTTAGTCTTCATTGGCTGTAGTCTAACTTTTATATAATCCCCAATTTACAGATTGTTGAAATCTGATTAACGTTGTTTAAAGATGATTTGAATTAAAGAGTAGCAAGGAAAAGAAGCTCATCGTTTAGAAAATATAAACAATATATTTATATTGTTTTCCCTTTTGTCTATAACAATATAGACAAAAGGGAAAACAACCCCAGAGGCATGGGCTTCAGTTCAAGATTTCCTCCTGGGCTGACTGTTCTGTCTCTACTTCCGAGACGCTAAGCGGAATCGATGTCCCTGTGCAGTTTGAGTCTGAGAAGGAGGCCTAAGTCACACTCCAAAGGCCAGGCTCTTGGATGTTCCTCCTGACATAGGAGTCTGAGGTCAACCCATGGTACCAAGATGGTTGGTCCTACAAGAATGAGCTTGGCAGAATATCTACCTTGCCCACCCAGTAAGGAGGGATTCACCTGTCTCCAATCCAAGCTTCTGACCTTGCAAAACTAACCTCAGGTCTTGACAGACAGGCATGACAGAACACGTGTAAAATGGGTCTTCCCATCAACCATGCTGAGCCTCCACCTCCTTAGCATTCTCTGTTCCTCTGTGCAGATTCTCACCCTGCCTATCTGTCTCCTCCATCCTTACGACAACATCCTGTCTCCCCGACACACGGTGACATCATTGGCTGCCCTGAAAACAAACCGATCGCCAAGGGTGTCCCCACTGGCTGCAAATTAAAGTCCAGTCCATACTTCCGGTCATTTTGTGTCCTGAACACTTGGGCCCCACGTCCAACCAGACACCTCTGGGTCCTCAAGCACATCCTTCAGGGGTGCTATCACCCCCTTAACTCTCCTGGAACTTCCTCTCCTTCCAGAGACCTTCCTGCAAACCCTGCCGTCCCCTTTCCAGCTGTGGGGGCTCCAACTGTCCCTTGGAGTGCAGCCACATCACTCCAGTCTCTGCCTGTGTTTTGTCATGGCCTTGTCTCTGTGTGTGTCTGCGTCTCCTCTTCTTATAAAGACACCTGCTGTTGGCTTTAGGGTCCACCCTAAGTTCAAAACAATCTCACCTTGAGATCCTTAACTGATTATATCTGCAGAGATCTTATTTCCAAAAAAGGTTCCAGGCAGACATAGGGGGGTCATTACCGAAGCCCAGTCTGCAACTACTCCCCCAGGCATCTCTCAAGCAGGCGGCTCTGTGCAAGGTGTCGCATCCCAGGGCTGACAAGGTACAATCTCTATTCTCAGACTCCTGCGGCCCAGTGAGGAACGGCAGGCCTAAGAAATGAACGGTTTCAACACCACAAGGCACTTGCTCTAGGAAAGGAAGTGCTCTGGTCACTGGAAGTTCTGAAAGGAGAACGAAAGCACAGGGCTAAAAGCGCAGGAAGAACTTATCAATCAACCTGCCAATGGATTGATAAACAAGAATCAATACTGCTCCCTTCCACCCAGGAATGTCTAGACGTGGTGTGTAAATTTCCCATCACGAATGCCCATCCCAACTCTGAAATGCATGTCAAAGACCAAAAAAAAAAAACAACAGGGTTTTATGATTTCAGTGACTGTCCCCTCTGACTCCAAAGTCCTCAAAGGAACGACTCCCTCCCGCCTCAAACAATAAACTAAACTAAAAATAAGAAAGCAAAGACAGATGAGGCAACTTGCCAAAGAACAATACGTGAGCTGAGGCGAGGGGCAGAGATCAGTGGTTAGATGCAGCATCCGCGCAGGACAAATCCTCCCGGCTTAGCTGGAGCTGAGAACAAGGATGGGTGTGCAGACACAGGGTCAGGGGAGGAGGATTGTGAAAGTGACATTCAGAATTTTTCTTTCATCCTGCAAGTTATCAGGAGCTCTTTGAGGGTCCAAGCTCTGTAAGAAGGTCCCATCTGCATTATAGAAACGTCCCTCTTGCTGTCCAGTGAGGGAGAAGATCTAGCTGAATTGGCCCAAAGCAAGGAATTGGGGAAGACACAAAAAAATTGCCACAGTGATCAACAAAAGTAATCGTGTGCAATGGTGTTGTAGCTCTTCGTGAGGTCATAATGGAACTGGTTACAACTGACAGGCATTACGGGCTGAGTATGACCCCTCCCAAAATTCCTGTGCCAAAGCCCTAGCCCCCAGTATCTCAGAAAGTGGCTGTATTTGGAGATGGGTCTTTATACAGGTAATTAAGGTAAACTGAGGACACTAGAGTGGGCCCTGATCCAACAGGACTGGTGTCCTTATAAGCAGAGGAGATGAGGACACAGACGTGCACAGAGGGATGACCCCGTGAGGACACAGGGAGAAGACGGCGTCTACACTCCCAGGAGAGATGCCTCGGGAGGAACCAGCCCTGAGACACCTTGATCTGGGACTTCCAGCCTCCAGGCTGTGAGAGAACAAACGGCTGTTGTTCACGCCACCCGGTCTGTGGGACTCTGTTATGCCAGCCTGAAACTCAGAAAGCTGGGGCATTAATGCTCGACCCAGTGACCCCTCAAGGTTTAACCTCACAATCAACAGCCCTCTCCAGGCTGGGAAACCTTCTTTTCCTACTGAGCGACATTTCCAGCAGCATAATCATCTATTTATTTAATATTTAAGCTATTTGAATTAGATCCATCTCAAAGGGGGAAAAAAATCCCAGCAGAGCTACAGGAAAAGTTGATTCTTTTTTTTTTTTTTTCCTTTGGTTGGATATTTCTAAAAAGAGCATTAAATTATTTCACACAAAAGCATAAAAAATATCTCACTAGATCATGTTCTAGTTACTCATTTATTCTCTAAATGCACAGAGACACCCCTGGATTGTGGCTACGGAAACTGACACCTACTTAGCTCAAAGAGGCTTCCATCATTGTTGGTGACATGGGCCACCATGGAAGAGTCATAAAACTAGAGACTAGAAAAATGACATGTTCAACCGTTTCATGTTTCCCATTCACTCAGTTTGGCCACCCCAGTAACGTCTGCAGGAGAAACACCAACGTTTAAGGCATGCAGACGCCACGAGTCCCTGAGACCGGGCATAATTCTGTGGTCCCCAAGTGACACACCCCCTAGGAGGTCTTGGGGGCCCCGGACGGCTGAGGTGTGGAGAGGGAGGAAGGTCGCCCACAGATGGACAAACATCAAAGCTCATGGGGGTTCATGAGGACAGGTGATCTTTCCAACAGCTTCCTGACTGACGGGGAGGAGAGAGAGACGGGGTGCGGGGGGGGGTGGTCATTGATCACGTTAACACAAACACAAGATGGCAGCAGTGGACGCAGGATCTCTCTCCCCAGCAACAAGGATCCCAGGACCCAAAATCTCACTCTGCTTGAAAAAAAGGTGCAGCCCTGAAAGTTGGCTGCCATGGGCGCACGTGAGATATAACAAAATCCATCTGAAGGGCAAAGACAGACCAGTGGTTTTTAACGCACCAAAGGATGAAAATGGATTGGTGGGTGTTCAGTTTCCACCCTGCCTTGTCTTGAAGAAACTACCTGTCATCAAATTTTGCTTGGCACCAAAGGACATCCCCAGTTACCCAACGCCACCGCACAGAACGGGGCAGTTCTCCACTTATCATTTCGTGAGGATGCCAACTTTTAGCATCAACACCAGTGGGTAAACGGAAGAAAATCTGTCGCCGTACTCCAGCTCCGAGCCAAGAAAGCAGACATTCTCACAAAGTCACGTCCAGCCTGGAGACTGCAGTGGCTGAGAATTTCATAACGTCTGCCAGAAATGTTTATTCCTACCCATCCGTTGCCTGCCTGCTTCCCTGCCCTGAATCCATCTTCCAACCGCCCCCCAGAATAACACTGATGGCTTCCCCCTTGGCCCTTTCTCGCGACTCAAAGGTGCTTTCTGTTTTCTGCAAAGAGTTGAATCTCCCCTTCCAGCACATTCCAAGGCTGATCGAGATGTGTCCGAATGTCCGCCGTGAATGCTGCCATTATACAGACCGTAGCTGCCTCGGGGAAACATGCGGTTTTGAATCTGCAGCGCTGCAAACCTGTCCCTGAAACAGAGAATCTTTTCTGCGGTTCCTCGGAGCAGAATCTTTACCGCGCACCTCCTGAAAACAGCCCCTAGTACCCCCGCCCAGACGATTTTCCGTTCTAAGGCCAGAATGGGGGAAAACAGGACAGACACAGCTCAGGGAATGACCAACTCTCTCCTCTGAACAAAAAAGTAATCTGTTTTGTTTGTTTGTTTTTAAACACACTCATGAATGATTGAGTCTGGTCTGGTACAAAAAGAGGGTGTCTCAATGATTAAAAACAAGAAACAAAAAGCAGGACTGCTGTCTTTCCGGTGGGTTGGGGTTACAGTCCGTCATCACACTCTGAAGTCAACTGTCCAAATCTGAAGGCCCAGCCGGGGCGCGGGGGCCAGGCCTTGCCTGAAGTCGCTGTGCGCCCATCTGCTTGCCAGGGAATCAACACAGGATCTTTATTGATTAAAAAAAAAGAAATTAAGCCCATGGTCTGAACTCTGGAGACTCAAAAGCACTGTCTTCCCGGAGTTAGGGGCGTCTTAGGGGTACAGAGTTCTTCGCATGCGTCTCCCAGGCAGTAAATCTCAGACAGTCCACTGAAATTTCCAGGAGTACGCTCCACAGAAGGAAAATTGAGAAATCCCTGCCCCCCTTCACGTGCTATAAATAACCCCGTCCCAACTGCTGGGACCCTCCCTGGTCTCCACCAGCGCGAGGCGCCAGCGCCCTCACCCCACCCCTAAGGGAAGGCCTGGCTGCCACAGTGAGTGAGAGACTAGGGTTCGGGACAATAGAAGGGTCAGAGTGGGGGGTGGGGGGCAAGGGGTCTCCCCAGCGCAGACCAATCTCTTCCGAGACACTGGGCTCCGGCAGGCTGAACCCAGGGGGTCTTGGAGTACTCACCAGACATGGTTCGAGTCGCTGGGCGCAGGGGGCCGGCGTGCGCCCAGGCGCAGTGGGGAGATCGCCCAGGCCACGCGCCCGCAGAGCAGAGGCGCCGCCGTCTCGCGCGGACCCTTGGGGACTTCAGGCCTGCGGGCGGCAGCGCGGCGTTCCTGACACCCTCCACTGCGGCCCCTTACGCACCCCGTGGCACCTGCGCCCGGCCACCCCCGCCATCCCCATGCCCTGCACCTCTTCCCCCGCGCTCTGGGGCAGCCTCTGTCCGCCTCCCCTCGAGACCCTGCCGCGCCCCGCACCTCCTATGCGTCCCAGGCATCCTCTGTCCCCACCCTGGGCCAGCGTCCCCTGCTCAACCCCGCCCCCCGTGCCTCCGCAGCGCTCCCGCAGCCTCCGCTCCAGGCCCGCGCCCCTCCCCAAGGCCCCGCACCTCCTCCGCGCTCCAGCAGCCTTGTTCCAGGGCCTGCGCCCCCGTCCCCCGCCCTCCGGCCCCCGGCACCCCCACACACCTCCTCGGCGCTCCCGCAGCCTCTGCCCCCGGCCGGCGCTGGAGGCCCCGCGGCCCGCGACTGGCCCCTCTCCGGAAGCACTGCCCCGCCTGCGCCAAGTAGCCGCGGGCCCGGGTCCCGCCGCCGCGCTGCAGCCCCCGCGCGCCAGCGGGGCCGCCGGGGAGAGAGGCCCAGCCAGGCACCGGGGCCGCCCCAGGGCCCGCGCCCCGCCCCGCGCCCGCCGGGCCCCCTCCCTGCGGAATCCGGCAGCTCGCGGTTTCTAGGTTTGGACATTTAACCTTTAATCAGCCAGCCCCAAAGTAAATGTTTGCCGTGGCTTAAAGGGCCCGGGCCCAAGGCCAGCGCGCAGCCGGGGTGGAGGCCGCGCTGGAAATGTGCTGGGAGTGGGGGGGCGAAAGTATTGAATGCATGCGCGAGGGAAGAAAACAGGGGCGCATGTGTCCGTGCGTGAGTGAATGCGAGAGGAAAAGAGAGTAAATGAGCGATCAGCCGATGCATGGATGGGTGAGCGAACGACCGGCTGTGCGCGCGCGCGTGTATTCAAGGCTGCGCGAACACAGGTGTGCGTGAATGTACGTGGGGCGTGAATGAACGATGCTCGAGTGACTGAATGAGCGACTGGGGGATCTCTGTTTGCATTTACGAGGGAATGAAGGCGTTCGCAGGTGATGGCACGAGTTTCACGCCGGGCGCAGCCGCTGCATGCGTGAATGCATTTGTAAATATGCGTGAATGGAAGCCTGACTCTGCAAAAATAACTGGACGCGCGCTGAATGAAGGCGTGACTCTATGAACGAGGGAATGAATGAGTTGGATGCTCACACGAGTGAATGAGTCAGCACGTGAATGAGTGAGTGACCTCATGCGTGCGGGCTTGGATGGGTGAGTGAAGGAATGCATGCTCGTGATGGCATGAATTAATAGAATGCGGAACGTGTGAATGCAGGTGCGAATGAATGAGTGATGCGCGTATGCGTGAGCGAATGGATGAGTCGAACACACTAACAACTGTGTTATTGAGGGAACGAGTGAATGCACACAGTCATGAATGAATGCATTGTGGATGAGTGAATGAATGAATGGAATGCACGGATGAGTGAATACGCGCCTGAAGGAAGGAATGAATGAATGAATAGACGAATGTGTAAATGCATGCATATATGAGGGGATGAAATGAATGCATGCGTGCATTGCATGTATGTAAATGTAGGTAGGCACGCATGTAAATGCATGTATTGCATGCGTGCAAACACATGTGTTGCACGTATGTAAATGTAGGTAGGCGTGCATGTAAACAAACACATGTGTTGCATGCACGTAAATGTACGTCGCCATGCATGTAAATGCATGTATTGCATGCATGTAAATAAACACGTGTGTTGCGTGCATGTAGATGTAGGTAGACATGTGTGTAAATGCATGTGTTGTGTGTCTGTAAATAAATGCATGTGTTGCATGCATGTAGATGTAGGTAGACATGTGTGTGAATGCATGTATTGTGTGCGTGTAAATAAACGCATGTGTTGCATGCATGTAGATGTAGGTAGATATGTGTGTGAATGCATGTATTGCGTGCGTGTAAATAATCGCATGTGTTGCATGCATGTAAATGCATGCATCCCATGTGTGAGTGCGTGAACGGAATGAATGAATGAGTGTGTTAATGCATGCATGTGGGAATGAATGAGTGACCTAATGGATTTAGGTGGACACCAGCTGCCCATGAGCCTTCTGTGTCCTGTGCCCCTAGTTTGGTTAGAGCCCTTCAGACCTCCAGCTCGGGCAGGGAAACCAGCAAGGAGAATAAATAAGGAGTCCTAGGAGGCTTCCTCGGGTGACCCTGGGTTTGGACCAGGGGTCGCAAGAAATGTCTGGATGCACCGTGAGTACAGTCTCACATACAGAGAGAAGGAGGGGCAGGGACACAGGGCACAAGGGGCTTCTGGCATCTTGAGCAGACATTCGCTTATTTATTTTTTGAGACAGAGTCTTCCGTGTTGCGTGTGCTAGAGTGCCGTGGCGTCATCATAGCTCACAGCCATGTCAAACTACTGGGCTCAAGCCATCCTCCTGCCTCAGCCTCCTGAGTAGCTGGGATTATGATGCCCGGCTAAATTTTTCTATTTTTAGTAACGATAGGGGGGTCTTGCTCTTGCTCCGGCTGGTCTTGAACTCCTGAGCTCAAGTGATCCTCCCACCTCAGCCTGTCCCAGAGTGCTGGGATCACAGGCCTGAGCCACCGCACCCGGCTTGAACAGACATTTGGAGGGACAGAAGGATGCAGTGTGGAAGCCAGTGCTGCACACTGGGTGGGGACGCGTGAGCCGTGGGCAGTCGTAGAGGAGGAGAGGAGTTGGCCAGAGTGGCTGGGGAGTTCCTCAGGGTGGAGGCAACCTCGGCAGGTGTTGAAGGACAGCTTAAGAACTGGTGGGTGGTAATCGTTTCAGGAACTCTCAGCTCGTTTTGGACTTTGCCTTGGGCTCAGGTGTGCGGGGGCTCTATGTTAGCCGAAGGTCTGTGGTTCAGGAGCCCCACCCCATGTACACACACACACGCACACACACACTCACACTCACACAGGGTTCCATATCTCACACTTTGAGAACCAATACAATTTAGGCTCAAGCTGTGAGAGAAGAGATTTTTAAATGTCTGGGAGGAAATCCAAGAGGCTAAGCTTCGTTAACCATCCGTGCAAGAGGGCGTGAAGGGTGTACGTCATCCACCAGGCTGGGATATTTCCAAAGAACACGGCTCACCCAGAGCAGGGCTGGGCTGGATTTCCTCTGAACCCTGGTTCCAATAACTCCCCCCAAGACATCACAGCCAACAGGGGCTTTTCGTGTTGAACATATGAACTATCACCTGAGCTGTATTCAACTCAGGGCAGTTTTGAGCCCGGGCCCTGGTGAAGCATATGTAACTCGCATGTCTCTTCCACTTGTGGATGTCCTTACTGTTACAGTTAATATTGACAATTTAATTCTGAAAACTGTAGGGTCCATTGCATATAGCTCACACAGAAAACAATGAAAAATCACAGATTTTTCATTGCATTAGAAAGGATCATTTTGTTTTCAAAGTTTTTATTCTATTTTTGTAACAAAACACGTGGCCACAAGGGGAAAAAAAATTTTTTTTTTTTTTCTGGTGTGGCCGCCCATGTGTTAAACACGGTGTGGCCCAGCTTTCCTCGGGGGAGACCGGGCTCGAAGGACCCCCAGATCGCTGCCGTGCCTGTCGGTGGAATGCAACGCAAACCGCGCCCAGCCTTCCTGATCGATGACTCTACCGGGGTAATCGATGGGCTCTGTGCTGAGGGCTGTCCCCGCGTGGGTTATTTACTTGTATAAATGTATGGGTTACAAGTGCAATTTTGTAACAACTCATAGCTTTTAGTGTATTCGTCACCAGCATGACACACATTGTATCCATTAAGAAATTTCTCATGCCTCCTGCCCCTCCTGGCCTCCCACCGTTCCGCGTCGCCAATGACTATTATTCCGCGTTCTGTGTCCACGTGCAGTCACTGTGGACATAGAATTATGTCCAGTGAGCGAGACCATGCCGTGTTTGGCTTTCTGTTTCTGAGCTGTCTCCCTTGAGATAATGACCTCCACTCTATGCACATGGCCACGAAAGACGGGATTTCATTCCTTTTTGACAGCTGAGCAGTACTCCACGGCGTGCACACGCCACATTTTCTGTATCCAACCCTCCCTTGATGGACACCTAGGTTGCTTCCACGACTGAGCTGTCGGGAATCTTGCTGCCGTAAACATACCAGCCTCTGTGTGGTTTTTAATTGATTGATGTCTTTTCTTTTGGGTAGATGCACAGTAGTGGCATTGCTGGACCAAATGCTAGCTCTGCTTTCAATTCTCTGAGGAATCTCCATGCTGTTTTCCATGGAGGCCGCACCTTTGCGTTGTTTTAGCCTCTGAACCATCAGTGAAATCCGCAGGAGCTGAGAAGTGTCCGGCGGGATCCCCCTCTGCAGGTGGGTACCCCAGTTTTCTATTCCCGGGGTAGCAACCTCAAAGCGGGAAAGTGAGGGGTTGAAGGCGGCCACCCATGGAAGAGTCAGTTCTGATCCAAGGAAGGGGAGACGTTCCCCAACGTCTGTGCTTGTCTCCTTGTTAGATCCAACAGTTGTCAGACGTCTGCACACCCACGTGCTATGGGGTTGGCCATCTCATTCCACGTGGCTTGTGCTGACTCCTTGCTGCTCCACCCAGCAAACTGTGGAGTGCTGTGCTCCTGGGCTAGGCAACAGAGGGCCCTCCCATGGGGAGAGGGTCTCACAAGAGTGTTCTGACAATAAGATCCATTTAGAAATGGCCCAGAAAGATGCTGCCTTCTGTACCGTGCAGGAGGGTGAGATTCCCAACCCGTCCCCTTTTGTGGGGTTAGATAGATGTTACACACCAGCAGGTTTCCCACCGTGGCCCTGGTGATGACGTTCCAGGCTGGATTCTCTGTGCTGGGGGTTGTGCCGTGCACTGCGGGCTGTGGACCAGCGTCCCCAAGTCCCTACCCCCCAGGTGCCAGCTGTACCCCCTCACCCAGCTGGCTCAACCAGGAATGTCTCCAGCCCTTGCCCAGTGGCCCCTGGGGACAAATTATCCCTGTTGAGAAACCCTGCTCTGGGGCAAGAGACAGCGTTCTGGGTGGAAGGGATCTTGGGACCGTCCCAAGCAAAGCCCTCTGCCAGGCCCCAAGAACAGACATCGGAGCATTTCCCCCCAACGGCTGCCTCTCGGGGTCTTCAGTGTTCGTTCCGCAGGTGTTTGCAAAGAGCGATGAAAACTGGAACCCCACGAACACGCTGCGGGGCCCGCACTCTCAGGGCGGAGCTTGTCTGTCCAGGGGCTCATTATGGGAGTGGACAGGCGGGGGCTGCCGCCCACCTCACTCCAAGCAGCCTCAGCCCCCCTCAAGCATCCTCCACCCCTGGGCGTCTTAGCACGAGCAAAGGGCGGGTCACACCCAGCTCCATTCTGGAGTCTTGCTCCTTGACAACTTAGGTCTTTGCTGTGGGGCCAATGTGTGGGGTGACCAACACAGTCCCAGGGCCCCCCCCTCCAGA